TAGCGTCTGCCCTGAGCAGGGTAGATGCTGTATCCGACGCCGACGACATCTATGAACAGAGTCGCTACGCTTAAAGCATTCAGGACATTGTGCTGTTTTGCGTTTTCCGTGGAGATGGAGGGTTATACCGCCAGAGCTAATAATTTGTCGACTGCATCGCCATCCGCAAGGTAACTGTAGAAGTGTCTTAAGAGAGTGCATTACGTTGCCCATAACTTAAAACAGCTTAGATCCTTGCTCACCAGAAAGTTTCATCCAAAATCTCCACCCAAGTTGCGGAAGAGCCACTTTTCATCCGTCGTTGACAACAACAGACGGCACATCAAAAACAGTCCAAATGCGCCCTTATTAACCAGAACCAAAACATCATGCCGTTACAGAACCTTGTACATAACGAGTATCTACCAGTGAAATCACCAGGCACATTGGTATCACCATACAATAGTGCTTGACCATCACCATGCCTGAAGGACGTGGTGGCGGTCAACGAAGTACCAAAGAACCACTAAAAATCACAGGCAGGAAATTTTGGTGATCCTGACTTGGCTATCCTGTAAACAGTGCCATTTCCTGGCTCTATTTCCGGTGGCTAAACACAATTTTTCTTCTGCAGCTAAATTGCATACCTGCGCTCGAGCCAGTAACTCATGTATCCCAACCAGTTTATAAAGCTCTCTCCCCCTGACATATCGTAATCCATATTCATCTGTGGTTGCTAATTACGCAAAATGAACCATCTTTGTTAGAATAACTTATATACTATCATACAAATGAAACGCCTATGTTACCCGCTGTTAGTTCATATATTCTTTACTGGGTTGAGTCAAATCTGGACTCCGGAAAAAACATTGGTGATCTAATTTCATCCACGGGATATTGTCGAAAAACGGTAGAAACATGTTTTTTTAAAGAGTATGGTTTATCTCTCGGAGTTTATTTATTCAGAAGAAAGATGAGTCGGGCAGGTGTGCTGTTAAGGTTAACTAGTTTAACTGTCACTGAAATTGCCGAAATTCTGAATTATAGTAGTAGCCAGAATTTCACCCGCGCTTTTCGTCGTTTCACCGGAAAAACACCTTCAGAATATAGAAAAAATAAAGTTTGGGACGTTTCTGTTTTACAGAATTCATTTCTTCACAATCTAACCATCGGAAATATCTATGAATATAATTTACCTGAAAGATTCTTAACTGGGAAAACTTATCATATACAGGAGTCATTTTTTTACAAACCTGAATATGAGTCCTTTAATGGATTACAAAAATTAATGCAGAAAATTTTCTTTACCGGGGGAAATGACATCTCTGTTTCGGTAAAAATAATAAACACACCAGAATTATCAAAGGGGCGTTCAGGTATTGTCAATGTAAAGGTTATTGTTGGTAAATTATCGACAGAAAAACAATCAGGGGATTTTAAAATGCCTGGCGGGGATTTCTGTTATTGCCACTTCGTTGGTTCATGGCGTGATTATTACATTTTCTCATTTACTTTTTTCATAAAATTACTTGCTGATGGTAAGTACACCTATACTGGAGGATATCATTATATCGATTT